CTGACCCAGGGGACTGCTCCAAGGAGCTCCCTGAAGAAGTCGAAGTTGGCTCTCTTGAAGTCCAGGGTAGCTATTCTACTTCTCGCCCCATCTCCTCCACACCRGATTGTGAATTCCAACATCTCATGGTTGCTGCAGCCCAGACTGTCCCCAACCCTCACATTTCCCACTAGACCATCTCTGTTTGTTAGTATCAGGTCTAGCAGCRCCCCTCCCCTTGTTGGCTCCTCAACCACCTGTATCAAGAAATTATCTGCAATGTTCTGCAGGAACCTCCTGGACTGTCTGTTCCTGGCTAAGTGGTTTTCCCAGCAGATATGAGGGTGGTGGAAGTCCCCCAGGAGGACCAGGGCCTGTGATCGGGAGACTGCTTGCAGCTGCCCGTAGAAGGCTTCGGGCACTTCCTCGTCCTGGTCAGGAGGCCTGTAGTAAACTCCCACCACCGTGTTGCCCCTGCTGGCTTGCCCCTTTATCCTCACCCACAGGCTCTCTACTCGTGTTCCATCCTCTCCTATGCTGAGCTCTAAGCATTCCAGTTGCTCTCACATAAAGAGCAACTCTGTCACCTCACCTTCCTGCCCTTTCCCTCCTGAAAAGCCTGTAGCCCTCCATGGCCACATTCCAGTCATGRGRGCTGTCCCACYATGTCTCAGTAATTGTGATGAGATCATGGCCCTGTAACCACACATGCATCTCCAATTCCTCTTGTTTATTCCCCATGCTGCGCGCCTTTATCTGCATTTACTTTCCAGTTCCTTCTCTGCAGTCTAATATAGTTCATCAAACATGAAATAATATTGACCACTTGTTTACTGCGCCTGGTTAGGATGTTCCGTGTTGACTAAGAAACTTATGATTTTTTTCTGAGTGAGAAATCACATGATGGTAGGGAATTATTGTTGTCTTATCTACAGACTACTTGATTCTGACATCCAACTTTTCTCTCTATGCTTCATATGAGGTATAGTGGTATAGTACTATTGAAAATTGCAGTGGCATATGATGTCAACAACTGCCATCTCTCTAGTAGTGCAGTTAAGTGTCTTAATTAAGTCTGGGTCATGTATGTTGGACMAAAAATTTGGGTCCAACTTAGATACTACTTGTCTGAAGTTCTTGGTGTCTGCAGTATATCCGGAGGGCTTACTACGCTGTCTTGCTGAACATAGTCATCTGGGTTTCAATCTAATATATTCAGATAGTTCTTTAGTGATGGTCATTACCTAAAAGAAAAAACAGTCAAGACTGGGTTTGAATGAAAAGGAATTGTAACAGCTCATTTTGGACAGGCATCTTGCTTCTGTGAAGCCCACCTATTTCAGCTCAAGTCAGAGCTGAGCTCGTGATTATTTAAGTATGTATTAGAGTGAATTGTTTTGTGAATAAAGGCTTTTGCCTAATGTCTATAGCTTGTATGGTTTATTGACATGAGAAGATTTCCTCAAACTAATCTGCAGTCACTATTTGAGGGTTGTCAGTCGATATTCATAGCATCACGTTTGACATTCTAAGTGACTTGGGCCATATATTTCAAGGTTATCACATTTCTGGTGGGACCTCACATTAATTCAAGTTGAAAAGGAAGGAACATTTTTAAGCAGAACTTTGCTAGATTCTAGAAGCAGTCCTACACCGTACACAGCCTGGTTTAATTACATTTTGAGAAAGATGAGGCAATTCATTTATTAAAGGTGTTAAGGATGACAGAAGTGTCTAAGAGCTGACACACTAAGCAAGATTGTGCTTTTCAAGTGAATATATCTAGCTGGTTATAGTCATGCATGTGGGATGAATTGATGAATATATTTTGTATTATGTGGATGGATGGAAAAGGAATGGTAATATTCCTCTTAATTATTCATACACCTAAATACATAAAAATGAACAAATAATGATACTTTATCAATATTCATTTATTAGCATGTGGCTTTCAGTATTTTGAGACGCTTTATCAATCATCACTTACTTTCACTTAAGCAGCGTTCTTCAGCGGTAATGTGAGATTGATTGAATATCTATTTTAAAAATTTAAAAATGCTGGTTTGCTCTGGGAGATAACAAGTGGCTTCATTTGAAAGGAGAAGCTGACTTTGTATAATATTCAGGCTTGACAGTGAACCCATTTTCATCAGTGAATATTTATTGCTTATATATTTTTGCCAAGTTCTACTCAGTGTTTAAGTGAATTTAACTTACATGAAAGATACTAGGCTGTAAGCCTTGGATTGAAAAATCTCTTATACATAGTATGGGCATCAGCAGTACACATATTCTTGTGCTGTACTTTAGTGCTGATCTGCAAGGTTAACTTTTAAGATTAATATATTARAGTGCTCCATGTAAAGATGTGCACAGAGGAAACCATTTGCAGTGCAGATTTTATTGGTTCTGCAAAAGATCAGAAACTATACTACTTGTGCCATCTGCTGCACATCATCTATCTACTAAGTCAGGACTAGTACAATCACTCCTTTAAAGAATACTCTCTGGCAAGATAACTTAAGGGAGTGCTTGGAATTTTCTAGTGGAACGACAGGAAAGGTGAAAGTAAAGCTGCCAATTATGATGCATGAAGCCATCCAGTGAACTGAGATATGAACACAAGATTTCTGTAGAGGCTATGCACATTTAAACCCACGAGCAACTGATCTGTACTGGAGCAGATGTTATGACCAGGTCACTGCTATTACTATTCTTTTTATTATTATTATCACCTCTATGAATAGTTATCAGCTTTGCACAGAATAAATCTAAATAGAAATTGTAGGTGAAGATGTGAATAACAAATCTTACTGTCTTCCTTTCTCTATTAAGTGAGGCAGGGAAAGGTGGTATGATTTGCCTAAAAAAACTTTGTCAAAAATAAGACTAAGTCTATTTTCTGAGTTAAATATTTTAGCCATAAGACTAAACTTTCACTTTGACTCTAGAGAGAAAGCTCCATATATTCCAATGCTAGTGCCCTTAATATTGCAATTTCCCTGAACATTAAATTTTGAAAACCACTCTAGATACTGTATTTTTAAAAATGCATATTTTCTGAGGTTGATAGATGCTTACATAATTTAGCAAATCTGCATGCAGTTAGGAGGACATTCCAAAATAAGGAATAAAAAACATGGACTAATGAAGTTATACAAGCCAAAAGGRATCAAGAAATCTGCTTACTGACCAGGAAAGTTTGCTCTAATACTATTAATCTTTGAAGAATTCACATGAACTGCACTTCAACAATGAGATTAATTATGGTATTTCCAGTTATATTTAGTCATGGGGCAACAGGATTCTCTCCTGCTCTGTGGTCTGTGTAATAAAACTATTTCAAGCCCGTAGAAAGTGAATATACAGTCTGGCAATAGTTGAGCATGATAGTGGTTGCATTGCTTTGCACAGGTGTTTAGGATATGAAAGTTGAATGACAGGGTAATAAATCCATGGTCCAGAGTGTCACTGGGCTAAGGGGATGGCAAACACCACAGCTGAATATAGASATGGGGCTTTCCTGGGGCCTGGCCACATCTGTACACAGCTTTTTTATTGGAAATTAGACCTGCTGACAAGCTGGCCAATGCTATGCCAGCTGCCTCTGGCTGTAAGCAGATGTCAGGAGAACTGGAGATTATCAGTGTGCAGGCAGATCTAAATTGCATGCCCTACACCAGTAGCTGTGGGACAGCTCTCTACAACAATTCAAATGTATCCAAAGATACCTTTGTGCAGGGGAGAGCTCCCTGAACTACTTTGCACTAATGAAGCAGAGTAAGGACACAGCAAGCCTCAAGAGCAGGGTCAACATTTTCAAAAGTCAAAGAAATAATCACTTCTTTCTCGTAATCTACATTCAGCCTAAAGGTAAATAAGTAGTGTCTAATACTGCTTGGAATAATGTAATGCTAGTATTGTAGAAAGCATTGACATACTTTTAGCCTGATATGCTCAATAAAGAATGTCTCTGTGACTTTGCTTGTCTGCTCTTCTGACAAATATACGATTTATATTTACATCATATATTTAAAAAGGCGTATATAAAATTTTCTTTCTGTGCAACTTTTTAATCAATATACAATTTCAATAAAGAGAAAGGTCTCAGACTTACTAAATTTGTACAAGCTTGGTGAAAGCCAGATGCTAGCTAGAGGACGGAGACTGAGAATTAAAAAGTCCCTTGACAGAAAGGTTACAGCATGAGTTTAACAAGCTTCCTATGCAAGTCTAGGCATACAGGGAACAGATGTACTGCTGGAGACATTATGGAAAATGGAGAAGCATTGAGAAAGAAAGTGAAGTTATTTAGCATGCAGATGAGATAATTTTCTGTCAGAATAAGATGTAGACAGAAATCTGTAGGAAAACATGCTTTGTTATTTCCATGTTGACAGTACAGGATGTTTTCTGTTTGGCTAAGTATCTTTCTAATCAATGAGCACTTAATTTTGCAACCAAACTGAACACAGTACAGAGGCATCTGGATAAAGCTATTAATAATCTGATTTCTAGAAGGAAAGGTTATATATATGTGTGTTCAAACAATATTTAATTATTTTTTCTGGTGGAGWTTTTTTTTCTGAATTATATTTAGAAAAAATATTTTAAAACAAAAAAAGCAGTCCTTGTGATGTTTCAGATACACCAAAAGCTATCATTCACAACATGCTATTTTTAATCTCTGTTTTTTAATGCAGCTTCATTTTGAATGTGAAAGGCAATTTTCARCTAGGCAGAAATATGAAAAGTCACAAATGATCTTCATTACAAATTGGCAAGGATATTCTGCTTGAGCAAACCCAGTGGTGGCTTTTTTAGTGACCCGTTCTACTGGTGCATTTTACTTTAATAGTTCTGATTCTGATAAATAGTCAGACCTACTTATTTGAGGGAAAATAAGAGCCCTCATTCCATTTAATCCAGTCTTACCCTTACTAAACTGAGACTTTCCAGCCTGTAGTTCTTGAGAGTGGAATGCTCCCATTCCAGGCAGAGGTATGTTATGAAAATCTCCAAAGTGAAAGGAAAGTAACCTACATAGAGGATAATCATCACTTGTGACTTTCCTCTGTGGATTAGTAAGAATAAAATCATTTGGTTACTAACTATGTACTAGGAACAATTGTTCGTTTAACTATGCACAAGTTGTTATAGAGGTGTGAATAGGTCTTGCTACTGAATCAAACATCTTGCATAAAAATATCATCAGAAAGGCATTCTGTTGGGATGTTATGAGATAATAATTTCAGTACTAGAAATGTGAACTCTGCTGTCTACTACATAAAAATTTGTTACCCTGTAGAGTGAGAGTGACTGCCACAACTCTCTTCTATATTGTTGTATTTTTATTGCTGGAGAAATGCTACAGGTAGAGGGTAGGTACTAGATCATA